TTAATTTTCTCAAAAAAGTAGAATTTAAATATGTCAAACTTAATAGTCAGAGTCAGAAGCCCAAACGAAGAATTCTTGATAATCAAAAGAAATCAAATTGAAAACTTAATTAAGGTACTGAAAAGTACAAATTAGATCATGGTCTTAGTGGCCTAACTTTTGAAAGAATATTCCTTGTGTGTATATAATATCTCGAATATAAGATTTAAATTTTCACACTATAATAGAAGATTTAAATTTATAGTGGCATGGCCCAAACAATTGCAATTGATGGTTTACATTGGAATATTATCACTTTAATGACTTCCCGCAAACTAATTAAGTGCACTTTTGCACGGTCTTAGTGTTGAAAAATCCACATTTTAGAAAATTAAGCTCCTTCCACTTACTTCTTTAAGGATCTATACTTGAACACTAGAAAAAGTGAATTCTTCGGTCGAGAAAAATTAATTTAAGGTGGAACCTTCAAATCAGGTATTCTGCCTCCATAGTTTTTGGTGTAAAGCATATGGATTTGATTGAATGGCGACTTAATGGAGAACTAGAAAGTCAGTTCAAAATTTTTTGTTAAATTAACAATATAATTAACAAAAATAAGCAAGAATTATGAAAGGCATGAATCTAAACTATAAGCTCGTGTATGATATAGATGATACGTTGTGTCCAGTTGTATTTTGTGGAAAATTGTTTTAAACTTTATATATATATATATATATATGCACAAAAACTGCCTTTTATATTAGATTTTACAGCACCTGACTGAAAAACCCTTTGCATGCATTCTGCTGCATGACTGCGATCACACTATTGTCTCTTCTTGCCCGCCCATATACACGTATATATATATATATATATATATATATATATGCACACCCACACTTGCAATTTATAAATTTGTGCATGGGCCGTGACTTTGTTGATAAAACCGAAAAGCTGGTAATCTTGCATGCTTTTGAGTACGTCATGTATGGTGTGCTATAAATAAATAAAGGAATATAAATATATGGCAATTTTCGTGATGTTCGTCCGCATCGAATTGTTCAACGTTAGAAGCCAAATTCGGCAATAGAAAACTGCCGCCTAATACCTGCACGTCATCCACCCACCGACCCACCCATTAGAACCAGGGCACGTTGATCATTTTCTTGCTCCAAAATTTATTTATTTACTATGGAAACAACATCTCTTTTCTTTCGTTGTTAAAGCTGTAAGATTATTCTTAAAACAAACTAATAAATCAAGTTAGGGGAACTTTTATCCCTAACTTCAACTCTGTTTTTTATCATTAGAATCTAAAAAACAAGTAACAAAAGGAATTACTATTATAGTTAATTAATTCATTTAAAAATAGTAACAAAAAATTAGTGCTCCATTAGCTAAAACTCACAACGAAGTACTTACCGTGAATCCTTAACAGAAAGGCGTAAGGAATGGGCCCATAATTAATTGCCACTCTTATTACTTGGGCCCATCCCTTTGGGCTTTTTTAGTCTTGGGTCCGTATACAAAATACGTAATAACTTGGATTTTTGAAACAGAGAATTGAGGGATCTCAAAATATATAAACATCCCTTCCCCGGATATATATATATATATATATATATAATTGGAATAAGAAGAAAGCGGATCTGAAAACTTTCTCCGGATTTTAAAATCCCTACTATTCTTTATTCCCCCGCCTTTGCCGCCGAAAATTTCACGCCTCCCTCCGCGAACTGTTATACAACAAACTCCGTATCCTGTCTCTCTCTCTCTCTCTCTCTCTCTCTCTCTCTACATGTGAATACGTCCTGGCTTGGCAATGGCATTGGGATGCTAGAAACAGAGGTGAATAATTGAGAGATTGTGATTTGCATAGTCTTTTTTACGCTTCGTGTCATATTGATTTTGGAATCATCATCTCTGCTAGATTCTCCTGAAACCTTCTCTTCTTTTTTTTTCTTTTAATAAATGAAGCATTTGGATCGATCAATAAATGACGTTCCTGTTTATAGCGCAAGAAATGAAACTGTTTCACTTCCTTTCGGTTGTTTTGTTTGAATTACTTGCATCAGTTGCATTAACGCCACTTCCATCCTGTTGCTTGGGATAATCTCTATAACAGCATGTACATACTATCGTATTGCTAAGGGAATCATCATGTTAATTGTCTTTGTTTGAATCGATTGTTTTCTTCTACATGTGAATCGGATACATGATTTGAAATGTGATGCGAAAAAGTAAGAAAATAAATTATCAACCGTTGCTCTATGGCGTGAGTTTACTTGTCAAGTTCCTTGACTACAGTATATTGGTTCTTGGTTGAGACTAGTTGTTAAATGATTACTTTGAACTTTTGAAAAGGAAACCTGAGTTAGAGGCTTAGTGCCTACTTTTTTAATCAAATTTCACCCCTCAAAGATCCTCTAGTATATATAGTCATAAATGTAAGAATGGAATTTAATCAAGAATGACTCATTTATTTATTTATTTTATAGAAAATCAAGACAGATTCTTAAATAGAATATAATGCCATTTTTCTCATTTCGAGCTTGGCTAGAATGATCTGAAGTTTTTCACACGTCATTCAATTGTCCGTCATCTTTGCCTTGATATGCTTCAAGGATGTGGAACTATTCCCTTAACTATCAAATCGTAGACGTAAATAAATTCAATTTAAAAATTTATCTGCCAGCTTAGTCTTAGAACTGCAACTTTCAAGGGCTAATGAGCTCTAGTTTATAACTAGTTTTTGATTTGCTTGTGCTACATCAGTGCAAAACAATCGAATAAATGAGATTGTTCTTTCGTATCATTATTTAACTCTGTTTCATTCTACTCTTTTTTTTTTGTTAGTATGAAATAACTTATCTGCTATCATTTCTGGTAGGAAAAGAAAAGTTATCATTATAAAATCATGCTAAAGGATTCTTTCTAATTTACTGTTTTTAACAAGCTGTAGAGACTACTCCAAAAAACAAAATGAATAGAAGAGATAAATTAAAAAATTCTTCTGTTGATCATTTTAATTTGTTTGATGAAAACTAGTTCCTTTTACAATCGTGGGGAAGGATCCAAGTATTTCCTATTGAGGATATGCCTGATGCAGCCAATACCTTGATTAGGTTTGTCATTTCAACAGTGTATCTCTGATCAGAATCACAAGTCTGACATCAATTCCAACAGTGTATCTGGATAAGAAGCGGATCCAGTTGAAGTGTTAATTAGTCTCATATATATATGTCATATATTATTGGAACTTAAAAAGGAATTTTATGAGCTATCTCATCAGTTCAAATGAGATAGTTCCTTCGTGTTGCTTTTTGATCCTGCTATTTCTATATTTCATATTGTTTCGTTTTAGATTGTCTGTTCTGTACCGACAACACCGATTACATATTGCATGTTTCACTTGATTGACTCGTGCCCTATTTGATCGGTGCTTTCCATTGAATGCTGGGATAAAGGCTTCCTAACCATTTGATGTTAAAACGGATCGATTTCGCTCCTTTCTCGGACATATAATTTTTTTCAAATTATTTTTTAAGGGTGCATTGAGATTTTAACCATTTTCTCTGTGCTTTAGTGTCAAGGATTTTGTAATTATAAAATAATATGAATACATTCTCTTAACGATGCTTCCTTTCTGAATCTCCTTGTGAATGTACAGATGCTTCAGCCTTGTGAGTGGTAGCTTTCTTTTTCTTTTATTTCCACACGCTGTCCTGTTTGGAAAGAATCCCGAGTCTTTATTAGTGCAATAATGTTTTTCCCCTTACCTCTGTTCTTTTACTTTAATACTCCACGAAAAAGTTAGAAATAAATCAGGGGCACATGATCTTTTGTCTCTCTCCATCAATATAATATGTGTATGTACAGTTAATATCAATTAGACACTTGTTTTTCGGCAATTATTATTGTATTCCTCAGTTGTCATGTTAATATCCCGGTTTCTTATAGGAACTTTCTGCCATTATTTCTTTCGGGTCATAAAGACTAAGTTGCCATGGAGAATTGATTGAGAGCAGTGCTCCGTTGCTCTTATTACAACAGACAACCTTGATGAATATTTCACATTTACATAGAGATCATTTTTTTCTGATCAACTGATACATTTATTTGAAAATCCACTGGAATGACTTCTAGAATATTAACTAATTGTAACTTATAATATTGTTGCCGTGGAATTTTATGATATAATAAATTTGAACTTTTACATATATGTCAGTGTATGCTATGCGTATATACACTCAAGTCATAGTAGAATTTCTTCTTCTTTAAAAAAAAAGGTGCAGCTTAATAGTCGTTCACACCAAAAGGAGTACTTTCACCGGCTAACTGCAAAAGTTTTTTTTTTTTGAATAGGTATGTCTTCAGAGGCTGTGGTGCTAATGAAATTGCTTCTTTCTGACAGTTTACCACAGTAAGTTTCTATCATTTTTAGGCAAAGATTTCGATAATTACCCTCGATAATTCTATATCTAGGCTTGCTGAAATCATGAATAGCACAGTTCTAATGACTTTAGATCACAGGGAGGATAGAGAAATCAAGATCTTTTATTCCTTTTTTTTTTTAGCGAGGTGCTTTTCTTCCCCTTCAAAAGTGATTTGGTTCCTTATCTTTCTCATTATGGTTCTGATTATTGCTTCTAGGTAGCTGGTAATAGGCATCATGGCTCCCAACGATGGAAGTAAACAAAGCTAAGTTTTCTAAATTTGGAAGTAGCGAGTTTGTGTAAACATAAGGGTACCTAACACACATGTACTTCAGAAAGAAAACCATCCACCATCATCATTTCACCCACACTTTTTCTATAAGACTTGTCCTTCTACCATTGGAAGGATTAGCGATTATTAAAATCCCTTACTTTAACCCCGCCTTTTTGTCATTTTGTAGCCCATATGGATAAGCAAGGTACATTAACAAATTTCATTATCCGAGCTCTTTCCTCTAGAATCAAAGAACAACCCAAAATGTAACTACCCCCAAACTCCAGCCCAGACAGACAAACAGAAGCAGAGACACAGATAGCTGCGACATTCATAAAATTGCACACTTCGGTTCCAAATACACCTCTCCTTCATCTCAAAAATTCAAATTCCTAAACTCTGAAGAATAAATCTATAGATACATTGACATCTTAACAACTAACAGAGCTAGACCATAAGTGGCAAATGAATTTAGGATGACAAAGTAAAAGAACATATTGATGATAATGACAATAATAACCAACTGTCGTAGAAGCCCCGTTTATTTCTGGTGGACAGAATGATAGATGAAAGGGGTGCCAACAAAAATCTAAGTACAGAAAAGAATGGAGAAGAGATAACAAACTAAGGACAAACCAACACATCCATCCACACACAATAACTAATACGTGATATATGGCTCAGTCAAAGAATTCCCAACTGAACTTGGGGTTATTGGTAGCTAAACTTGATGTAGATGTGGATGTAGAGGGTACTGGGTTTGAAGCTGGTGTAGAATCAAAAGTCTCCCATTTTGTGGTAACAACAACTGGACCAGATGATGAATTCTTTTCTCGCTGATATGGATAGTGTTGGTACTGCTGGTGGAAAGGCAAGTGACCGATTGAATCCCTCGGTTGTTCTTCCTGAATTGTTGCTTCCCTTTGTCCATTAGAATGCCTAGGCGACTGCACTTGACTTGGTGCTAATCTCTGCCCGTTTGGATGCCTCGGTTGGCTCTGTACTGGGACTTGAACCCCGTTGCTGCTAGGCGTTGAGTTTTTAATCTTCAAAAGATCAAGAGTTTCAACATACTTCTGCACTCTTCGTACCTTCACGGACACAAGAAATTCTGTAAGATCCTCAGCTGTACCCAAAAACATATTATTATGCGATAGCCAAACAAATTAAACATTTGCCTGCATTTTTCTTTGCAATTTCGCATCTCCATCTGCCATAATGCCATCCAATTTGAGTAACTGGTTCATCAGCAGCTCAATCAGATTAAGCACGTCTTTTTCTGCTACTTTCCCACCTTTGGTAATTATTGTTTCAAGAGCCGATACCTATCAATTTCGAATCAAAGACCAAATCTTTTAATTCACAAAAGAAATAGGAAAACAAAAGGACGTCCATCGGATAAAATTGAGCCCTAAAGACTTTTCTGAAAATCTGTTACCTGACCGGCAAGCCTGTCTACTTCCAAGCTGATATCTGAGATGGATTTTGAAGCCTTCTCCATTTTGGCGTTTCTTCTCAGTTCCAGTAACCGCTTCTCCTGACTGATTGGGTCCTCAATGAGCACCATTTTAGATCGATCTTTGACTCCGACAATGTCAAGAAATGCATTGGAATCCCTCTCCTTGTCTTTGTATATCAGCTTTTGGTCTTGATGGTGCAACCCTGTTGGCCCCGTCAACAATTTCTTCAACTCACCTGCAGGAGTTAAAACGAGGGGTACCAAAACAATGTTTTCATAGTTTAGACCATAAGAACCAGTGACAAAGAAAACACAAACAATTGCGGGAAGAGGAACAGTACAGCTTACCAAATGTAGCTTGAGAACTGAGGTTGATTTCGTGGTAGATAGACCCGTATTTAACTCTAACTCTGATCGTCGGTGGGGATGCGGAACTCCGATCTGAATCCGGGTTTCGCTTCTGTACCAACATTCCCCCTGGTCTGAGTTCCCAATCATGCGCCCCTGAGTCACCACCAACAACGAAGCTGACATTCGTCTTATTATTCATTCTCATCATCTTTTGTATCAATCTCTTGTTCTCTTCCTGCGGCAGAGATATGCGAAAAACTTGAAGCAAATAGTGACTAGATCTCTGTAAGCTGTGATTCACGGCGATCTGTATCAGAAATCACAGATATCCATTGGAGAGAAAGCTCGTTAGACCCTGTTTTAGAAACCTCTGACTCAAGCATCCCAGGAATCCTATCCCAATAGCCACGCGTAGGGAGAGAAAGGAAAGTAAGTGAAACAGACTCCTATAGAAAGCAACTGAAACTTTCTACTTTCCTTTTGCAGAGCCAATGAATGTCTTCCTTTCTTTCTCTTTAAGAAAACCAAACCCAGATCCCTAAAGCCTTTGAAATAAAAAATAAAAAATAACCACCCAGTTGAGGAAAACCAGAAGATCCTGTACCTACCTCTGCCAGACCTTGAACCCAGGAAATTGGCCCCAGATCTCTTCCACAGAATGCAACCAAATGGCTAATAGTTTAGAAGAAAAAAATTTCCCAAGAAAATCAATGCCTAATCATCCGCGGTTTTCCCAAGGAAATTGCCTTAAAAATCAATGCAGACGCAAAAACCCGAGAAAATGAAATTTCAAACTCTCTCCTCGTCTGTCTTCTCTCTCCCCTGTTCTGGAAAAGTCGTGGAAGAGAAAATGAGGAAAATGAAAATAAAAACGAATATTATAACAAAGTTCCAGATAACTGAGCTGTTCTTGTTGTGACTTACGAACAATGTATTTAGAGGTGTGGTAGTTTATATGTATAATTTAGTATACGTACGTAATGAGGTACTGTTAAAACCGTATTATTTTTTAGTAAAATATAACTAATAAATAAGTAACACGAAAAAAATGGCAGCCAAAGCTGTCTTTAAAGGGTTAAAAAAAAAAAAAGACAGAGAGAGGACAAAGAAAAAATGAAAGAAAGGGATGAGATCAGTCACCGAACTCTAATGATGGTTCAGATACTTAAGGGTGCGGGTGAAAAAATATCCGACTCCCTTTTGATCTCTGTACACGTGTTAAGCCAAGGGCATTTTGGGAAATTCGTGATAATCCAATCATTGTCTTGTTAATCATAGAAGTGATGGCGTGACCAGATTGGTACTTTCCTTTGAACACGTGGCCGTTTCATGGTGGCAAGTGCAATAGGGCGAGTGTTGTACCTGCCGTTTGTTGAACTGAGAGTTTTACTCCGCCGGCAATCCCTCTAGGACCAGGAGCGGTTTACCCGCCACACGCTTCTCCTTTAGTTCCCGCGTGTGACGTTTCTTATTTTAATTCTTTAATAAGATTCCTTATTTTTTTTTCTCATTTTGACATATCTTCGCAAACTGAGGTTTAAAAAATTGTGTGGACGAAAAGAGAGATAATTTTCTGAAAAGGAAACGATTCATTACTATTTCAAAACGTTCTACCAACCATTTTTTTAATGCGAGGGGGTGAAAGCTTTCCACGAACAATATGGAAAACTTATTCTTTTACTTAAAGAAAAAAAAATCTATTACTTGATACCTGGACATAGGAGCCTACCGTGTTTTGAGGTTAATTTTTTATGAATGTTCCCTTGATTTTGACTATTAATAATATGTAAAATACAATTTGTTTAGAGATCATTTAGGTAAAAAAAAAAAATTACTTTTTAATTGTAACCATAAATAGTATTTGTGGTAAATGTGAGGAAGGGTGATGTGTCGGGTTAATATTATATCCTTTAATTAAATTTTAGTATTGAAATTAAACCCAACCTATTTTGCAAAACAAAGAAGAAAACATGACCAAGATTTTAATTAAAAACTTGGTCAGATTAAGCAGGTTGATTGATAATTCAATTGGGTCATAGATTTTTCTGTCATATCTAGTTAAATATAGGATGACTAGATTTTATTGTAAACAATAAATATGTGGTAATACTAATTTGCCTAAAATTAATACCGGCAACAATAAGTAGATAAATTATATGTAAAACAACAGTAAGTTAGCCGCTTGTGAATCTCTTGACAAAATAATATTCTTCCTAATCTTCTCTTAGCACTCCAAGGACAAGAAACTACCTAGTAATTGCTCCAAGTAGCTTGTGCCAACATTATTAATTGTTTACAACACCATTACTTTCTTTAGCCTTTTCATGCACCCTGCAATTTCTTTTGCTTGCAAGAAAACAATTCAGTCTCCAAAATACACAAGGAAAACATGCCAATATCATGTTTATGTGTGTAACATCCACTCAACCCACACAATTTAGTTGTTCGAACTAATAATTTTAGATCACTTTTAGAGCGTTTAAATTATATTTTAAAAAATAGCATGAGTCAACTCACCTTTACAACTCACGGAAACTACTGTTTATATTGATTGTTGAATTACATATTAACTTATAATTTATTTTTATCAAATCTCATTTTTCTACACATCTTGATTTGACTAAATATTACATGATACACTTCTTAAATTGACATACAAAATAAAATCTGGCTATATCCTATATATCAATTGGTCAGGAGCGTGTAAAATTGTGGAGAAAACATGTTTGTCTAATTTTCGCAATCTTCTTTTCGTTGTCATCGTATTTAGCTACTATAATGATATTTTCTTATTCATAATTTATAAAATTTGAAAATTTCCCTATAAATCCAATTTTTGTTATTTTCAATTTTTTCCATACATGAAACATAACAACGAGGTTCATCAATTACTGTCACTATTTAAAAAGGCGTGTAATTAGAGACAACTATACAAGTTTTCCAGTGCAATAATTGCCTTTATACAATTCAGTCAAAGGTCCTTCATCACTCGAGGATTGTTTGATAAAAAAATATTGTCCATTTTAATAATTGTTTTCACCAATTAATGGGGGCCTTATTTTTTACTCACGAGAAGAGAAGATCAATTTAAAACAGAAAAAAACAGCCCATCATCGAAAGAAAAAATAATAATAACATTTTTTTCTCAATATTCTGCGATCAAAAATTTCCTTTTTTTCACCAAATAGCGCCTACAAGACAAGAATAAAAGGCTGAAAATGTCTCCTGCTTTAAGAGTTGCTTCCAGTGAAACAACTTTTATCCTCCATCACTGTTGAAACTGATCCTAAGTTTAAAAAATGTTTACAATTATTATAGCATACATGGTCTATTGTTTCTGGTAAACATATTACTGGGATTTTCTTTTTTTATTTTTATTTTTTTATTTTTTTTGCTTTGGTGCGTTCTGGCAAAAGTTCCAAGTCTCAGCCTTACAAGAAGAGACGACACAACCGCTACATAAGTGGTGGTGGTTATTTTTCTGGAATAACTTAATAATATACTAAAATCGTCCAAATGCTTTTCTTACTAAGCCGAATCATCTTGTACTCTTCCTTTTCTTTAGGTGGAGGATACTACTCTTTTTCAAAAATAATAATTGGAAAAAAAAAAAAAAAAAGTGATCTAGTGACACATACTATACTTGACAATTAGGAAAAAAACGAACATACTATTAATAGACAACTTTTAAACCTCCGTGAAAAAAGGAACAACTTCGAAACCTGTCAATACCTCCCCGAAAAAACCTAGTGAACAATGCTTGTAAAAGATGGACTTGGCTTTTAGCTTAAGTAATGTATCTTCTTATTTCTTTTTTCAAGATTAAAAATTTTTGTACCCTGCAGTATGTTCTCTGTGTAATGGATATATGACTTGGGAAATACTCGTAAAAGACTTCCAGAAAATACTTGCAAAAGACACTCAGAAAAAATTGCTTGTGTAAGACCCGTGGCGAACATCTAAACTATCAATGGACCGGCCTTTTTTGACCTGTTCTTTTTGTGTCTCCCTCCATCGCACTCCTCGTGGTCTGACTTTCAGGAACGCCACCGACACTCCGCACTCGTGCGAGCCACACGATCGATGTGTCTCCCACGTGGTGAATCCTAGGCCGTTCATTAGCACTATCCCACGTGGTATCCTGCTGGGGCCCCATGGGAGTTAATATTTTTCCGCATACGCATTTCGATGGAGACGGTACAACCCATTTGTGTTTATTGAAAAATAGGGAAATAAGGGTGGTGGTTGTTATTTGACTCTTAGCTTTAAAAAAAATAAATTAGAATAGCTCTGACTCACTAAATTAATGTGCGGATTTGTTATTAATTAATTTTGTTAATTAAACGAGTCGGGCATTTGGGTTTTTGAAGCATGTTTGATTGGAGACAACTGACCGACCAATTGCATATTAAATTAGGCTATTGTTATTACCCAAAAGAAAAGGTTATTGTAGAGAATTCAGCAAAAAAATTAGGGTAATTGTAAGAGGCTTTGGTTGTTAGTGGTTTGCAAATATTCTGTGGACTTCCGTCCAAGAAGCACGTGACGATTGAACATGTTGGACACTTTGGTTGTCAGTGGCATGAAGATTATATACGTACTTTTGTGAATTGCTCCTACTTGATTATGAATAATGGATTTTGAACTTTTTATAGATAACTTTTAAAAATTATGTGATTCTTTAACTCTCAACTTATAATTTGCAATATACTCAAATCTTTCCAAACTTCGAAATTCCAGTTTTGAGAACATTAAAACATCTAAATTTACTAGTGTTTTAATAATATAATATTAAAGTAGGTCTTAACAAACATAAAAGATAAGTAGAACATAAGGAAAAAATTATTGAGGATGAGATTAAAATATGAGGAAAGAACCGGAATAGAAAATAAATAATAAAAAACTGAAATGGAAAAAAAAAATTGAGAAGTAGAATAAAGTTTTTTTATAAAAAAAAGGAAATTTGAAGATGAATTGAAATATAATAGAAGAAAGCAGGAAATTTTAAAAATAATTACAATATTATTAAATAATTTAAAAAAGACTTAAATTCGTTATTAAATTGTTGAATTTTGAAAACAAGAGAGGTGGAAGAATTAAAATATCAATGGAGTATAGACAACTATCTTATTAAATTATATGTTGAAGCAAAAATATAGAATGTATTACTAGTTTGATTGTATTGGAACAAGTATAAGAGATGGCTCTCAAATATAATATTTGGATGAATAAAATTACTTTACAAATACAATATTTTTATTTACGATTAGAAATTGAAAAAATAGCAAATTATTGTAAACATATTCTTAGTTATTATTATTTATATTGTTTAAGTAAAATTTATTATTGTTTTTATTAAATTTTTTTTTTAGTTGTTATAATTTGCAAGCCCTATCAAAAACAAAATACTTAACAAAAAATTTGTTTTCTGAGTAGATTTTCTGTTAAAATTCTACAATTATACAAAAATGTCAATATAATTCTATAAGTTTAAGATCTAATTATCATAAAAGATGTTTTGGGATTTAATTATAAGATATAATAATTTAAGAATTAAAGTAAGAATTTACCTCACGGAATAAATATATGCGTGTCCATTTGTTTTACATTTTAATAATAATTATTAGAAATGATTAATTTCTGAGTTACATTAATTAGGCTCATCTTGAGGATTTGCAAGTTCAAACTATAATCTTGAGAAGGCTAAAAAAGGAACTAGTAATTGGGAAAAGTTCTTTGATCTTTTATAAAAAGTTGATGTTAGTCAGAAGTAAGTGTTATAGACTTTAAGAAATGACGGTTGTCAATTCGATTTTGTAAGTTTTATTTTTCTAAAACTAGGTAAAATTAATTAAAAATTAGTTGACCATATAAACATCAAACCATGTTACAATCTAAAATCAGGCAGGTCACTCTATTTAGAAAAATTAATATGGAAAAGAATAATAGAAGTGGTGGAG